GATCCTCCTCCCTCAGCCTCCTGAGGGCTGGGATTACAGGCATGCGCCACCACCCCCAGTAACAGAATGTTTCTGAGATGTATCTATGTGTATCTGTAGTTTATTCACTTCCACTGCCTTGTTACACCACACAACCATATGGGTAGGATTCAGTTTAGCTATTCATTTATTCATTTTTATTTTTGTTTCTTTTTGTTCTTATTTTTGTTTCTGTTTTTTAGAGACAGGGTCTTACTCTGTAGTTCAGGCTGGGCTTAAACTCACTAGGTAGCCCAGACTGGCCTTGAGCTCATGGCAGTCCTCCTGCCTCAGCCTCCTGACTGCCATGTTCGTGCTATCACACCCAGCTAATTAAATTGACTTTTTTATCACGGTAAAATATCTAACATTAACTTTGTCAATTTTAGCCCTTTTATTTCTTTTTATTATTACTTTTTTTAGATAGAGGTCTCACTATCTAGTTCAGGCTGGCCTCAAACTCACTGCCATCCCCCTGGCTCAACCTCCTGCTGAATGCTGGGATTATAGACATGCACCACCATGCCCAGTCATTAGTTTAGTCATTTCATAGTGTACAATTTTGTACAATTTTGTGGTATTTATCTTTTTTTTTTGGTACTGGGAATTGAACTCAGGACCTTGCACTTGCCAGGCAGGTGCTTGTGCCACTGAGCTATATCCCTGGCCAATTTTGTGGTATTTATCACATTTGCAATGTTGTGCAACCATCACCATTATCTAGTTCCAAAACTTTCTTTAACTCAAACAGAAACTCTGTAATCACCAAACAAGTGCTCACCATTCCTTCTTCCTCTTAGTCCCTCTTGTCTACGTCTGCCTCTGTAAATGTGGCCACTCCACAGAGGTCATGTATGTGGCGTATACAGGGCTGTCTTAGTGGCTGGCTTATTTCACCTAACGTGTTTTCTTTCTTAGCTTTTCCTTTTCCTTTTCTTTTTCTTCTTTTTCTTTTCTTTTTTTTTTTTTGAGACAGGGTCTATGTAGCCCAGGCTAACTTCAAATTTATGACAATCCTCCTGCCTCAGCCTCCCAAGTGATAGGATCACAGGTGTGCACCACCACTCCCAGCACTTAGCACATTTCCAAGTTTCATCTATGCTGTAGCATGGTCAGAGCTTTCTTTCCATTGCTGAATATTATTCCTCTGTATGTACACATTTTATCCATTCATCTCTTGAAGGACACTTGGAGTTTTTTTTTTTCTTTTTTTTTTTGTTGTTTTTTTTGTTTTTGTTTTTCTCCGGTACCGGGAACCAAACTCATGACTTTGCGCTTGCCAGGCAGGCGCTTTGCCGCTGAGCTAAATCCCCAGCCCCTGAACACTTGGAGTTTTGCATATTTCTAATTTTTAGTTATCATGAATGAAGCTACTGTGGACGTTCAAGTACTGGTATTTGTATAGACACGTGTTTTTGTTTCTCTTGGATAAACATGGAATGAGAGCTACTGGTTTGTTTGATAAGAGAATATTTAACCCTCTAAGAAACTGCCAAGCTGTTTTCTAAAGCAGCTGCTATCGTTTGCATTATCACCAGCAAAGTGTGAGAATTCAGCTGCCCTACGTCCTCACCAACACTTGTACAGTCCAACTTTTAAAATTCTAACAATTCTAGTGAGTGTATAGTACTCTATTTTTTTTTTGAAACAAGGTCTCAAAACTCTCGATCTTCCCGCCTAAGCCTCCCAGGTGCTGGGAATCCAGGTGTACACTACCATGTGCAGTTCCCTTTCTCTATTTCAAAGTGGGGTGCTTGGCATGGTAGTGCATGCTTCTAATCCCAGCACTCAGGAGGCTGAGGCAGGAGGATCGTTGCAAGTTCGAGGCCAGCCTGGGCTACAAAGTGAGCTCAAGTCCAGCCTGAACTGCATAGCAAGGCCTTGTCTCCAAAATGACAAACATAAACAAACAAAAAAATCAAAGTGAGTCTCACTATGTTGCCCAGACTTGTTTTGAATTCCTGGGCTCTAACAATCTTCCTGCCTTGGCTTCCCAAGTAGCTGTACTACCGGGTGCTCATGTCAGTGTTTCTGTTGTTTTAATTGTATTTTTTGTTAATGATATTAAATATCTTTCTACATTCTTAGTTATCATCTGTATATCTTTTCTTTTTTTTTGTTTTTTGAGACAGGGTCTCGCTATGCAGTTCAGGCTGGCCTTGAGCTCACTTTGTAGCCCAGGCTAGTCTTGAACTCTCAATGATCCTCCTGCCTCTGCCTCCCGAGTGCTGGGATTACAGGCGTGCACCACCATGCCTGGCTCTATATCTTTTCTTTTTGAGGTGAAATGAAGTGTCTGTTAAAATACTTTCTGAGGGGCTGGGGATTTAGCTCAGCGGCAAAGCGCCTGCCTGGCAAGCTCAAGGTCGTGAGTTCAGTTCCTGGTACTGGAGAAAAACAAACAAACAAACAAACAAACAAACAAAAATACTTTCTGAATTTTAAATTCGATTCTTTTTCCTTTTTTTTTTTTAAAAATTGTGGTATTTTGTGGTGCTGGACATGGACCCTATGTCTCGAATGTGCTGGGCAATCACTCTGCCCCTGAGCTACACCCTAATCCTTAATAGGATGTTCTAAGAGTTCTTTATATAACTTAGACTCAGGTTCTTGTCAGATGTGCTTGTATTCATGTTTTTTGAGACCAGGTCTCTATGTAGTCCAGGCTGGACTTGAATTTGCAGTGATCCTCCTGCCTCAGCCTCCTGAGTGCTGGATTACAGGTGTGCACCATCTCGCCCGGGCTCCATATTCATGTTTAAATGCACATCCCAAAATATGTACTATAGCTGGCATGGTGGTGCAGATTTGGCAGAAAATCGAGCAATTAAATCCTATTCGTTGGGGAAGATTTATTTTTGTGCTTAAGTCAGGGCCTCACTACATAGTTCAGGCTCACTGTGCAGCCCAGGCTGGCCTCGGACATCTGGCCATCCCCCTGCCTCAGCCTCCCGACTGCTGGGACTGCTGGGGCTGCTGGCGTGCGCCACCTTGCCCAGCTATTAGGGAGGACGGATAGAGCGCAGTGTTCCTCAGGACTCCTGGGAGCCCCGGAGGGGCAGTTTCTGAGTCTGCTTCCCCCTCGCTCACTCCAGGCCGCTGCTGCGTGACTGCTCCCCCGCCTCCGCCCCGGCCGCTGCAGGGATGCTGTTCTCTCCCCGCCTGCTGGGCTGCTCGAGGACCTGCTCCCGCGTCCTGGGACTGAGCCTGGGGGCTGCGGCGCTGTTCGCCGCCGGTGCCAATGCTGCACTCCTCTTCCCCAGCTGGGACGTCACCTACCTGCTTCGAGGCCTCGTGGGCCGGCACGCCCTGCTGGGCTCCGGGCTCTGGGGAGGCGGCCTCATGGTAAGATCCGGCTGGGTGGGGATTCACAGCGCCAGTGGGGGTAGAGCTGGGGGCTGTGGGGAGTAGTGCTTTGATGGCAGCAATCGGAATGCCCACTCCCAGGATTTGGGAGACTTTGCAAGGTGGGGAGGGTCTTCTTGGAACCACGCAGGCTGGGATGGAGGTGATACCCACAGCTCAGGTCACCTAAAACCATGTCTTGGGAGTCAAAGCCAATAGAACAAAGCTGGGCGTGGTGGTGCACACCTGTAATCCCAGCACTGGGGAGGCTGAGGCAGGAGGATCTCTGTGAGCTGGAGGTCAGCTTGGGCTACAAAATGAGTTCAAGGCTAGCCTCAACTAAATAGCCAGGCTCTGTCTCAAAAGAAAAAGAAAGAAGAAAGACAGAGCACAATAAAACAGATTCTTGTGAGACATCCTGGAACCGCTCTGTCCCAACAGTCATGGGCAGCAGTGGACACAGGCAGGAGCAGAAACCACTGTGTCTCTCCCTGACACTGCAGGTGCTCACGGCTGCCACCCTCATCTCCATGATGGGCTGGAGAGGCTGCTGCTTCGGGAAGAGTGCACCGTGTTGCAGCGTAAGCCACAGTCCACTGTCCGGCATCGGCTTCCTCTAGACACGCCAGTACTCAAGGCCTGTTACACGTCTGAGGCTCAGAGCCAAGTCCTAAGTGTGTCTCTGAATGCCGCCAAGCTCTGGGGCGACCTGCCCAACTCTCCACCCGCATCCTCCTCTGCCACGTGGGCGTGGCCGCCACAGGGAGGAAGGGCCTAACAGCCACCGAGGACACAGGAGCGGTTGTTTCCCTTTAGTTCACTGAACCGTACAGACAGGAGTTATGGACGTGGCAATCAGGCGTCAGTAGTAGGGAGTTACCTGGCTATTTCAATTAATTTTCTTAGAGGCCTGGCACTGTGACTCCGAAGTAGAGCACTTGCCCAGTATGCCCAAGGTCCTGGGTTCAATCCCCAGCACACTGCATAAAAAAAGAAAAAAATAGAGTGAGCCAGGCGTGGTGGCACACACGTGTAATACCAGCATTCCAGAGGCTGAGGCAGGAGGATCTCTGGGAGTTCAAGGCCAGCCAGGGCTACAAAGTGAGCTCAAGGCCAGCCTGAACTGCACAGCAAGACTCTGTCTCAAAAAGACAAAAAAAAAAAGATGTGTGTGTGTGTGTGTGTGTGTATATATATATATATAATATATATATATATAAATAATTTTCTGGGGTTTTTTTGGAGGGGGGAGTTCAGGTGAGGTCTCACTATGTTACCCAGGCTGGCCTTGTGCTCGCTGAGATCCTCCTGTTTCAGCCTCCCATGTGCTGGGATCACAGATGTGCACGACCCTGGCAGGAAATCTTGAATATTTTAATTTGGGGCCAAAACTCACTAAGCACCTTTCTCTGACCCCAGCTTGACACGAGTGGGAAAATGACTATGAAGGAAAACCCTGCAGGTTTTATTCACATATTAAACACATGCATTCTTTTGGGAGGAAGAAATTCACTGTGACCTGCAGGCAGGGAGGTGTAGGCGCAGGGTGGGAGGCCAGAGGGAGTCTCCCTGGGCAGCCGCAGGGCGGAATAGGGCTGCGCAGCCTTGCCTGCAAGCTTGCTCGAGCTCTCTTCCCGCTCCGTGGCTCCCTGTGAAGCTTGATTTGAGAAACAGCCATCAGGGATGGCCCACTCGTCCTCAGAGGAGTCAGAGTTGGGCCTGGGAAGCCAGTGGGACCCTTTCCCCAGAGCTAAGTGACGTGGCCCAGATGTAAGGGTGTCTGGTGGCAGCCAGCGGGCCGGAGAGTCTCCGAGTTAGGAGGGCGCAGGCTCAAGTGCCTGCCTCCTTTCTTGGGCCTCTCTCCCTCCCAGGCCCCTTCTCCATGCTATAAAGCAGTTGCTGGGGATCAAAGCTTGGCGGGGGCGGGCAGAGGAGTTGGAAGTTTCCTATCACCCTCACTCTCCGCAGATCCTCACCGCTCTGCTCGCCAGCGGCTTGGCTTTGCTTGGAGCCCTGACCTGCTTCATCACTTCCGGAGTGGCCCTGAGAGATGGTCCGCTATGTATGTTTGATGTTTCATCCTTCAATCAGACACAGGCGTGGAAATACGGCTACCCATTCAAAGACCTGCGGCACACGTGAGCGCTGGGGACTTGGATCTGCGGTCTTTGCAGGGGCACAGGGAGAGAGGCGGATCCTCTTGCCTCAGCCTCCCAAGTGCTGGGATTACAGGCGTGCACCACCGCGCCTGGCTGGGGGCCATCTCTTGGGTTGCTTGCCTGGCTTTCCTTGTTTACTCCCTGCCCGACCTTATTTTGGGGACAGAAATTATCTGTATGACCGTTCGCTCTGGAACTCTGTCTGCCTGGAGCCCTCCAAGGCCGTTGTCTGGCACGTGTCCTTCTTCTCCGTTCTGCTGTGCACCAGCGCCCTCCAGCTCCTCTTGGTGGCTGTCCATTCCGTCAACAGCCTCCTTGGCCTCTTCTGCAGCCTCTGTGAGGAGTGACAGGTAACGTGCCTGGGTGCCCAGGTTCCTGCAGGCCCCCTCAAAGCCTTTCCTACAGCAGTGGCAATGAAAGACAAATGAACATCCCTTTGCGGGCACGGGGTACACCCCTCTAATTCCAGCACTCAGGAGGCTGAGACAGGAGGGTCTCAGTGAGTTTGAGGCCAGCCTGGGCTCTATAGTGAGCTCAAGGCCAGCCTGAACTACATAAGGAGACCCTGTCACACACACATACACACACAAGCGGCTACATAAAGCTTCCAGAGGATAAGGGGTTGTGAACCGAAGGCACACAGCTAGGTTAAGGGAGAGTCAGCACCTGACCCCCTCTCTTCACAATTCAAGTTCACCAGCTGCTATGGACGCTCCGCGGGCTGATTCCCTCCCCTGTGTGGCTGGCATAGAGCCTTTTCCATGATAACCAGAGCTCCACCGAGGTTGGAGTTCCTCCAAACACAACTTCACCTTTCACCCCGGGGGCTGTGGCCTTCGGGGGCTGCAGAGCGGGGAGCAGGGGCAGAGGGGAGGGCAGGAGGGAGCCCCGAGTCCAGATGCTGCATCCTGTCCCACCTACAGCCTCAAGGAACCCTGCTGTGTTGGCCTTGCAGTTCCCAGTTGGCAGATTTCATTTCAGGGTCATAGTAGGGTGGGGCTGAGCTATAAAAACTTCTCTAAGGGACAGGGCCCAACACTGCCACGCAATTAATGGAGGACGGACAGATAATTTAGGGGCTGAAGGTATGGCTCTGCAATAGAATACATGCTTAGCATGTGCCAGGCCAGGGCTTGTGTCTCCAGCACCCCCCCACACACACACACAAACACATGCGCACGGTAATTTACATCTGCTTTTTATGTTTTCATTTTTTCAAACAGGGTCTCACTATGTAACCCAGGGTGGCCTCCAACTCACGACCCTGCCTCCTGCACCACTGCGCATGCGTAGAGTGGCTCCTCCCCCTCTCTTCTGGTGACCCCGCCTCCTGTCCCACTGCGCATGCGTAGAGTGGCTCCTCCTCTCTCAGCGGCGACACAGCCCCGGGAGATTTGGGGTGCACGCGGTGGGAGACTGACCTTGCGGCCTTGAGGTCAGTGTGCAGCCCATGGTGACAGCGCCCAGCCTTCTCTCTCCAGAATTCGATTTTGGTCCTCATCAGGGGACGGGGGAGGGAAAAGGCCTTGGAGAAGGAAGGAGGAGAGAGTTCCGGGCCGGTGTGGCTCTGTCCAGCAGGATGGGGCCAGGCAAAGCTTTTCTGAAGCAGAAAAGCCATCTGTGGTCGCGCGTGCTTTCGTGACCACCATCCTGGGCCAGGAGGGTGTTTTCCGGTTCCTAGTCCCGCGCAGAAGGAGGCCCGTCCTCAGGGCAGTGTGTCCTTCTGCTTCCCGTTGGCGCTCAGGCGTCCGGAGGACAAAGGACATTTCTCGTGGACACCTTGTCCCGTGTGAAGTTCGTAAGAATATGCGCGGTGACAGCTTGGTGCGGCGCGTGCTCGCGGAGCGGCTGGGACACAGCACTCGGATCGGTCAGCGTCAGCCTCCGCTCCCAGCCCGCAGTCCTGCTAAGCAGGAGTGCCCTTGTCTGCAGTGAGGGTGACGGCTTAGCAGTACTGTCACATAGCGTGGGGAAAAGGTTTTCTGCAGCCTTTCTGCAAGCTGGAGGTTGTTTCAAATGTGTAAGACTTGGCAGGAAGAACTATTAAAGATCGCACTTTTTGCTTAAACTGCTCAGCTGTGTTTCATGGACAGGGACCTTCTCGTGACAGAGAAGTTGAACAGGTTTATAATTCAGGGTCTTCTTTATCTTCCCATCTTGATCCTGATCCTTATAGTGAGTGACCCCTTGTATAGCAACAGTCCCGCACTCCCATCCAAATCTGTTATTCTTGCCAGGAAAGGCCTCAATGTTACTCGTTTTTCAATCTCTAGCCCTAGCAAAGATGTCACAATAAAGTGCTCATTAAGTCGACTCATGCACCAGATCCTCTGTATTTTTTGCTGGGCTGCAGTGGGTGGGCGAGAGAAACAGTTGAAGAGATTGTAGAAGGTGACAGCCAGTGTTTCCTAGAGATATGATTTTTTTTGAGACACTATTTCACTGTCACTATGTAGCCCCAGGCTGGCCTCGAGCTCACAGCAGTCCTCCTCCCCTGGCCTCCCAAGTACAGGTGCGTGCACTACCACGCCTGGCTGAGGTATGATTTCTTAGTGTTTTTTTCTTTCTTTTTTTTTTTTTTTTTTGGTTTTTCTCCGGTACCGGGAACCGAACTCACGACCTTGCGCTTGCCAGGCAGGCGCTTTTGCCACTGAGCTAAATCCCCAGCCCCGTTACAGTGTTTCTTAAGTGGCAAGGATAACACACCACCTGTTTGTAAGGCACATTGCGCTTTTGTGCAGCTGGAGTCAGGCTTGTCTGCGGATGCAAGACTCGTGTCAGATGCTGCGGGGGCTGCCAGCCTCTGGGCAGCTGCAGAGGTGGTAGGGGAGCCCGGACTGGGTGCAGAGTGTCCACCTGGGCCTCAGCCTGTATGTAGACTTCAGTCTGCAGGCCAGGGCCTGGAGGAAGGCTCGCCAAACGAGGCATGTCAGAGTGGGCTTACAAACAGGGAACTGTGAATGCCAGAGGTGGGGCCAGCCAGAGTGGCCATCCATAGTTTTCTTTGTTTTGTTTTGTTTTGTTTTTTTACCGGTACCGGGAATCGAACTCACGACCTCGCGCTTGCCACGCAGGCGCTGTGCCGCTGAGCTAAGTCCCCAGCCCCCATCCACAGTTTACTGCGGTAATAAAGGAAAGCCACTGTCTTAGTTATTTGCCACTCTGCTAGGACACAATAGCCAACGGCCAAAAGTTAAAGGAGAAGAGGTTTACTTGGGCTCACAGTTTGTAGAGGTTTTAGTCATAGCTGGCTCAAGGCAGGGTTGGGGGCAGAAGGGATTGGAGAAGAGAAACAGCTCATCGCAGGGCGGGGAAACGAGAGAGAGATCAGAGGAGGGAGATACGCCCTTCTGTGCCGCACCGCCGGTGACCGCTCCTTCCGACCAGGCTCCACCTCCCAACCGAAGCGCTAGCCGTAAACTCAGCGCGGGACCGATCCCGCAATAGGAACAGTGCCCCACGTTCCAGTCACCTCCCAAGAGCGCCCCCTCATGAGCATGTGGGACTTTGGGGAGACATCTAAACATAAACCATGAACAGCCACTGTAGGAAAACAAGGTTGGGGAGAAATTTACTAAAATCAGGGCGACCAATCTGAGCAATAATGCCAAGAAAGTGATTTGTAAACCACAACCTAGAATAATAAGAATTAGCTGGTCTCTGCCGGAAGTTGTAAAAGTTTACTTCTACAAACCACCCTTTTTGCATCTTATGGAAGCAAGTTTTGGAACTTGATATGACTAATTGGTTGAAGTAAACCAAAGGAAGCCTGGGTTGGATACTGGAGAATGGTTTTTGTTTGTTTTTTTAAGACAGGGTCTCTCTATGTAGTCCAGACCGGCCTTGAATTCCCGGCCGGGAATGGAATCCTCCTGCCTTAGCCTCCCAAATACTGGGAGTACAGGTGTGTGCCAGCACACCCTGCAATGTTTTTAGTTTTTACAGCTAAAGGCTTCTAAAGCTGGATGAAGGACCGGTGCTTACAAGCAGGGACTGCAGCCTAAGGCTGCTCTTTCCGGACTGTGCTGGAGCAGGGGTGGGATGAGGGGCAGCCCTCAGGGAGGCTGGGGATTTAGCTCAGCGGCACAGCCCCTGGGTCAGTGCGGTGCTCTACACACTTCTTCCTGGAGGAGCCGGTAGTACTTCAGGCTTCGTGGGCCTTCTGGGCTTTGTGGCAACCACTCATTCCTGCCCGCACAGGACATAGGCAGCCATGGACAAGATGTACATGTGCATAGGTGTGTTCTAATGAAGCTTTGTGGTTATGTAAAATTTCGACTGCTATAATTTTCATGTGTCACAAAGTATCCATTCTTCCTTTGATTTTTTTTTTTTTTTTTTTGTTTGTTTTTTTTTTTTGGTCGTTGAAAAAATATAGGGCAAGGTGTGCAGCTCAGCCACACACCTCCTCCCTAGCAAACATGAGGTCCTGAGTCTGATTCCCG